GAGGAACCTTGGAAAGCATGGCCCCTGGATTCTCCATCAGCCCAGACCGAAAACAATTTCTGAGGCCAACTCTTCAGACAGAGATTGGACTGGACTGTGGGGCATAAAGTGATACCTGTGAGGAGTGTGCCTCTTAGCTCAAGTTATACAAGAGACTAAATGGGCAGCTTCTGTCCAGAGGTGAGATGGGAAGGCAGAGAGGGTTAGGAGCTGGTTGAATGGACATGGGGAATCAGGGGTAGAAGGGAGGAGTTTGCTGTCACAGTATGGGGAGAGCAATTAGAGTCACATAACAGCGTACGCATAAATTTTTGTATGGGAAAAAAATAAAAAGTTAAAAACAAAGCTGATTTTGCAAATGTTATGTTATACGTATTTTTACTACAATAAAGACAACAAAAGAAAATGATGTACTACTCAAAAAAATAAATAAATAAACTTAGCCATGCCAACTTTAAGTATTTGTTCTAAATTCCTATTGAAAGTAATAACTTTAATTCACAGTTTTCCTACAAATAACACAGGGTTAAAAGACACTTGATTTAGTGCCTGTGGTCAGTCAACTTAGATGTCAAGACAATTAATTAATCAGGAAACTAGCATCTGCTTATACTGGGCTGAAGAATCTTCATGGGCTAAATATGCAAATCCAATATCCTCATGGCTGACAAGTTTCTATTATTAAACTGCTAACGTGTTTATTTCCCCCACAATGGCTGGATTTTTGTCATGAATACGCATTACGCCCTGTAGTTATTAGCTGTGAGGACTAGGTGACAGTGAGGACACAACTTGAGAATTTGCATTTGACAGATCACTGACACGCAGTCATGGTTCTTTTTTTTTTTTTCTTCCCTCTCTTCACTTAAGCAGGAATCATGCAATAGGAAATGAACTGGAGCTCTCAGGGATTATTCAGGTTTAATAGCTCACATCCTTTGAGCTGGCGGTTAGAACAATACACAGTGTGGCAGAGTTAAACAGAGGCGTCAATTATACTCTCAGACCTGCTAATATTTTTGACAATATTTAAATAGCACATCCCTTCAGGGCACAGCTTTTTTTGCCCTCTCAGTTACACACCTGTCAAGTGTTTAATTTGCCAAAGGGAAACGGTTTGATTTCTAAGGGCAGTCTTAATACTGAGGAAGCAAATTGAAAAAATTACACATTACTGAATAGACGCAATGAGAAGCATCAGAGGGGGAAAAATACTAGGCTTAATTCAACACGGCATGTCAGCATCTGTCATTAACGCAACAACGTGATCGTGTTCTCCAATATGCTGCATATACCTTGGGCCTTTTAATTATTCACTCCTTCCTCTTTCTAAAAGACAGAAGAATGATGGAGGAGTGAATCGGAGGGGTCAAATTTTTCAATAATACTAAAAAAGATAGAGACAGCAAGTTGAGCTTGGCGTGCCTATGAAATTACGCATCTGAAAACATAGTTTAGGGGTGAGGTAATAAATAAAAGCTAACCATTAATCAGATTTCTATAGCCAGTGATATAATTCATGAAAAAAAATCATTCTTAGGTATACTAATTAATTCTTAAATTATAAATATTAACACATTAGCAATTGGTACATACCTAGAAAATTTAAATCTAAGATGATAAAGTCCAGAATATTTATACTTAAAATTTAAAGTAGAAAATAATGTAAGTTTTTAAAATTTTACTGTATTCATAGAAGAAAGGAAACTTTTGATAAACTAAGAAAAGAAAATTAGTAAAGAATGGAGACTAAAGTGACGAGTCACAGAAACTATGAGAAGTTACCAATGGTTTTAATCAAAATGAAACTCTTGGTATCTGGGGACCAAATTTCTACCCTTGAAAAGAAAAGAAGATGTAAGACAGGCTGCTGCGTTAAAAAAGAGAAAGGAATGGGCCTTCTGACAAGTTCTCTTTCTGATTCTCCACTTATAAATAAGCTAACCTCTCTAGGCCACTACAAGAAGCAGGGTTTGGGCTAAATGTTTCCCATGGTCCTTTCAGCATTGGTATTCCTCTCTACCTGAAGAGGCGAGCAACAAGCCCAAAGCCCAAAGCACGTAAAGACATGCCTGTAGAATTCACAAAATGAGGCCTGATAATATTATGCTCAATAGCTTTCCAAGTAGGTTTCAACTGAATCATGCGGGACCCCAGTAGTCTTAGAGTCCATATTAATTTTTGTCAACCCTACTTCCATTTAGAAATGGTAAAACAAGCTCCACAGCAAGCAGGCCCATTTGTCCCCTCCTTTCAGCAAGCATGGAGTCCCTAGGTGGCACAAATGGTTCACACCAAAAGGTTGGCGGTTCAAGTCCACTCAGGGATGCCTCAGAAGAAAGCCCTGGTGATCTACTTTCAAAAGATCACAGCCACTGGAAACCCTATAGAGCGCAGTTCTACTGTGAAACGCACAGGATTGCCATGCGTCAGAGTCGACTTCAAGGCAACTAATTTGGTTGGGTTCAGCAAGCAAAGTTCTACACTGACACATATTTAGTCTCCATAAGTTGGAATCGACTCGACAGCAACTGCAAAAAAAAATTCAGCGAGCATGGTACACACAAATGCTATTCCTCTTACATGAGGATGGATACAAGTGACATTTCAACAGTTATTTTTCTAGTCTAGGCTAGTGGAGTTTCCTAACATACTTGCTAATACTCTTTTAGTTTCAACTTTTCCTCTAATTCTAATGGTATTTTCACATAAGGAGACAGCTGTTCAATTTCTTCACAAACTAATTTTCCACAACATAATTATGCTTATATTCAAGATACTGGTTTATCCAAAAGGATCCTGGTGGTAGAGTGGTTAAAGCCCTCAGCTGCTAACTGAAAGGTCAGCAGTTTGAAACCACTAGCGGCTCCACAGGAGAAAGATGCGGCAGTCTGTTTCTGTAAGATTTACAGCCTTGGAAATCCTATGGGGCAGCTCTACTATGCTCTATAGGGCTGCTATGAGTCGGAATAGACTTGACGGCAGTGGGTTTGTTTTTTTTTTTTTTTGGTTGGTTTCCCCCAAACCTTGCCAATCCATTCTGAAAATTAGTCTCTAAAACCAATCTTTTCAATAACCTGCAAAGGAGAAAAACACAACAACATATAACAAAAATATCTGTTTTTTCCCCAAATTCATGATCTACTTAAAATCTCTAAGTATAAATTCACTATAGAAAAACATTTTTAAAGATTCTTCTTGATTTATTTTTTACCAAAATATCTAGATAAAAAAGTTACATGACATTAAATAAATACCTTCTCTATTACCAATACCACTATTCGTGCTTTTGCATTTGGCACATTTTGGGGTTTTTTAATTGGAGCTGTTCTTTTATTGAATTATGAAAACTAGTTTCAATTTCATTTTTAACCTTTTAAGGGAGAATATTTGCTAGTGAGTCATCCAGAACCATTAAATTAGTGCTAAAAACATTAGAGTGAGAACAACTTGGATTGCAGGCATAATTAGATTGACTTCAAACCTTGTGAGGATAACAACTGTTTTTTAAAACTTTTTTTTTTTTAAACTTGAGAAATGGTAATTAAATTAAGTAAGTTCAAAGAACAGCTGACTTCAGTTTTCATTCTGTCATTGTGGTATGTTTCGATTTTAATATAAATGCTAGGACTTTTTTAATCCTCAGAATTTTTACAGGAAAAGAAGAGTACTGTGTTACATTTAGAAGTTCCAATGTTTATCACCATCTGATGCTGTCATAGAAGCAATTGCTACTTACACGCTTTTAAGAAGTGAGAATTTGCAATTCGTCTAACTGATGACAATGTAATTATTCCTTCTACTGTCAAAATAGAGGTGATTTCCCTTCCTCACACACGATTACACATGCAAATCCAGGCTTATCTGCAATCTTGTAAGTGTACTGAATGTCTGAATCTGAATAAGCAAGATCACATGAACAATGAGCCTTAGTGATGATGGAAACCAAGTCTAAGGCCATCTACCCTAAACATATTTTTATCATCCCCTTCTTCTGTAAGAACTCATTCTTCAGCATCCACACAGCTTTCAACAAGATGTCATATCATCCACAATATACAGCAACAACCATTACAAAAATAACTAGGGGGAAAAAGCCACTGTGAATCTGAATGTCTCGTTTAGAGGTTTAAATGACTTCATTAACTATTCATTAACACATATAAAAATCAGCCTTTCAGAAACACACAAGCCTTTCAAAAGATCTAGCTATGCTGCACCATGAACGTCTGCTGGGGAGAATGATGCCCTACCTGCTCTTTCAGGGCCTGCACGGAAGCCTGAAACCTCAGGATCTGGCTGAAGAGCGGGCTCTGCAGGACTGACTTCAGGAGGCTCAGTTTGTCTTCATTTGCCACGTCCCCACGTTCTCGCAGCTTGGCCTGCAACCGCTCTGCTGCCCGCAGGGCCCGGTTTTTTTCTGTACCGAAGGACAGCATGAGTCAATAACAGGATTCAAAGGACACATGTCAAACCCGTAAGAACGCCATGCTTGTACAAATCCTAAAGCCATTCCTGTGCTATCGAGAGCATAAAACTGACTCGAGGAAAAAAAGGGGAACTGTCAACCTGGCTGGCACAAATGATTAAGTGCTCCACTATGAACCGAAAGTTTGGTGGTTCGAACCCACCCACAAGCGCCTGTCCAAAGGCAAGCCAGGCAATCTGCTTCCGAAAGGTCACAGCCTTGAAAACCCTATGGAGCAGTTCTACCCTGCATACGTGGGGTCGCCATGAATTGGAAATGACTTGATAGCAACTGATTTGGCCACCTGTTACTGTACATATGTCCCTCACACCTTGAAGTCTCTTGTAAGAAAGTTTGTTTGAAAGCAGGGAACTTGGTATAGCATATGCCATGTGCAAGTAGTTGTTTGTAAAGTTTAGAAACTAATTCAGATGAAGTATATTTGAATTCTGAGGCCAGCTATCTCAACTCTTTTATAAAAACTATATAAAGCCAAATGTTCTGCTATCTTGCAAATACTGATATTTTCCCTTTTCAAAATTTTTTTTCAAATATAAGGAAAATTAGAAATATAACTACCTCACCAATAAATTGGTATGGATAATATCACTGATAAATCACAATGTTCAAAAGATGATAATTTCATACATTAAGGGGCAAAACATTCTGTGACTGAGAATTTGCTTGGAATTACAGCACAGTATGCATATTGTTTCAAAAACACTACTTTCTAAAACTTCAAGTGTCTTTCCTCTCAAAATTAAATAGCATATTAACATATGCATCAAACAAATACAATCCAAGTATTTATTAATCACCTTATGCATCAAGCACAGTGTTGCACAAGTAAATGTTCTGAATATGTGTATCCCTAACAGTCCTAGCATCTTGTAGGCATGCTTTCTCCTCAGTGAGTTTCCACCACAAACAACAGTTAAAAACATCTCCCTAAAACACACACATACACACACACACACACACACACACACACACTCTTATAAGTGAGACCAAATTTGTTCGAAAAAACGGGGGGCTCTTTTTAGATATTGTCCTAACAGATTCATAATAACAAGAGTATCTATTAAAACATATTTGCCATATCACAGTAATGGAAAGGAGTGGGAATTATCACCAAAGACACTTTCTGTAACATGAAATCTGGAGCGACACAGAAATGGGGGAAATGAAGACACGTATTGATGTTGATGATGAATTCACACACACGTAAATTAAAACAAACTATATTTACTAATATATAAAATTTTAAAAGCCAATAACGATAAAGACATACATAAGAATTTTATTCTGGGTCATATCTCCCATGGTACCTCAGAATGCAAATCTAATATTAACCCTCATATCTATTTTCGGGAGGCGTCCAACTCAGTAACAGAATAAAGACTAGAAAGGAATGGTTTCAATAGTTTTATATTTGCTCTTTGTTTTTCACTTTAAGTAACTTTCCTATGTGGATTCGTATTCTTTATGCTGTGTGGCTTCAGTATAAAATGCGTGATGAAGGAGATGTGTGTCCATGCATTTCCATTACCATCACAGCATCAGGAACAGAGTCACAGTACTGATTGCCATGATCACAAAACCAGCTTCTTCTCGCTTCACTGCCACCTACTCTTACCCTATCCCTCATCACTTCAGCTATCACGGTACCAGCCATGATCATCAAGGTGCCAGAGTGAAATCCAGACACATTCAACAGTCATAACCCGAAGAGTTATGTGGAACAGTTGAGGGATTGGGGTGTCACATGATTGTAGGTGTGTACATACCTGACATACTTGTAACTTGCTTCTCTAGAAATTAGTTTCTCTTAAAACTAGAAAGCAGTGTGAAAAAAAGATTAACACATGAGCCTGGAAAATTTGGGTATTTCAGTCTAAACTGTCTCAAGTAGAAATTAAACTGCCTTAAGTCTTCCCTGAAGTTTGTCCCCTCAGATTCAGCCTCAGTGATTATTACTGTTCTCTTTATCCATTAAAACCAAGAGGCCAGCAGTACTTCACCTGTCACTATTAAAGTCAGACATAGGCAATGACCTTCTTCCAAAATCAAAAATACGGCTGAAATTTCTGGTGCTACCCAGAAACAAACTTTAACCAGAACTGGGTTTACATTAAACTTTCCCAAAATCCATAACCAATAGAATATCTCATATACTTTTAATTTTTGCTTATAAACGATGTATTTTGTAACACCTCAGATGAACTTACCCAGATACAGGCATACAATGCCCTAGTACAATGCTGGTGAATAAAAACTTTTTTTAAACTATGTTACTATAGACAGAATCCTGCTATGTAGAACATACCATATTTCAAAAATCCCCATGGAATGAGTTTCAATTTTTACCAAAGTAGGCAGGAAGAATTAGGTCTTACCTATGGTGTCCAACATTTTTTTCAAAGTTCAGTTATCTTCTTTGAGATGACTAAAATCAGCAACTAAAACGGACCACTGAGGATAAAAGAAATAAAACAAGATTGTTATATTTTATCAGAACTTTAAAACTTCATTCTAAAACTAAATACTCTAAAAAGTACTTGATACTACTGTAATCCTTTGAGTATTAAAAATTTGTTGACTTAACTTTAGATGTTCCCTTTATAGGCAAAAAAAAAAAAGTTAATCATTTCAGGGCTTTTTCAAAACTATCTTATAATCACAAGTAACAGTTACATAAAAAAGTAAAAGGCATATAATCTATTTTAAATAAGATGGTAGAAGTTTCCAAAATATTTCCTTAAGAGCTTCTCAACATAGACTACTATTATCTTGGATTCACTTTCAGATCCTTAACCATAAAGTAAGGAGCTTAACTCTGCTTAAGAAATTTTGTCGGTGAAAAGATTAAAAAATGTAAAAAGTAGATGATGTGATCTTGCTCTCAAACGCTCCCAGTCTAACTGGGGAGACACACACACAATAATTAGAAAAGAATTGTGACACTCAGGTGGTACATGAACCGCTGGAAGATAACACGTTAAATCATGGAAGGAAGCCCTGGTGGCAGAGTGGTTAAGAGTTTGGCTGCTAACCAAACGGTCAGCAGTTCAAATTCACCAGATCATGGAAGAAAAAACTGAGTAAAAGAGAATACAGTGTTAAACAGAAGAGGATTTTTCAAAATATCCCCGATTATAATATTCTCTTCTTTCCCATTCAAAAATCCTTCTCAACTCCTAAAAACTACACGGGTCTCATCTTTCTCTGACATTACTTAACTGGACTCTGAAGGATTAGATACTGATCTGCACTGTCAATGGCCATACCACTAAGTCCATCTTCAACCCTTCAGGTTCAACAGCTTTCCACACTGTCTCCATACTTACATTTATCCTTTGCCTTACAGAAAACTATGAGTCATCAGGAAGTCAGTCAGCCATTTCTTCTACAGGGAGAAAAAGATTCTACCACTATACATCCTCATTCTTCACCAGGGTGATAAAACAGGGAGGGAATTTCTCTGAGAAGGAACAAGTCACCCACATGTTACTTCTTTAAAAGAAAATGTATTTGGGAAAAGGGAAGTATGTAATGTAGATGAGCAGAGGCATAGAACTTCGATGTCTGCAATTAGCTCTGTGTAGTAACAGAGAACAGTACTTACTGACTTTCTTCACCCCAATTTAGAATATGCTAATTAAAACATCAACTCCACCTCAAATAGCCAAATGGCTCAATAGTTGCTACTAGTTACAGAAATTGCCTTGGCGTCATGTAAAGAAGGCACTGGCTCTGACCTGGAATGGAAATCGTAATAGCAGTGTGGCCTTGAGCAAGTGGTCTAACATCTCAATCTCAGCTTTCTAGAAAACAAACTTACTCATTGGGTATAGTGTGCTAAATGAGTTAAATTATGCCTATTTCCAGCGGACAGCATAATCTGTAACTATAATACATATTCAGAATTAATGCTCAGCCCAAAAAGATTGGAATTCCAATGCCAGGCGTTATTACATGGTTTCATGGGTGGCATATTACAGGGATATCTTAAAAATAACTTACTTACAAGGAGAATATAATATTCCTTTATAAGACATCATACTACTAGGTGCCTGCCAAAAATTATTAACTTCTGACAATTAAAAAATCAAAGAATAGATACCTCAACATAAAGAAGTACAGATCTAGAAAGGTATGTTTAATTAAATAACCCAGGGAGAAGCATGATAGTGAGTAATGAAAGAGTGTGAACCAGTGAGTCTGAAGACTTGAATTAAAATTTAAGCTTAACCACTTACTAACTGTATGTCCCTTAAGTCTTTTACCTTTTCCTTGAAAATCCTATGGGGCAGTTTTATTCTGCACCCATGGGGTCACCATGAGTCAGAATCAACTTGAAGGCAACTAACTACAACAATTTACAAATGAGTATTTATAAAGATCTGAAAGAAGAAAATTATGTGAGGGCTTGGCATGCACAGTAAAATTCAGCTTTATCCCCTTTCCTCTATGAAAAATTAACTCAGAAAGACAAGCAGTATTCAGGACGTGGATATGGACTGGAGGGGGCGGTAGCCTATGGAATTAGAAGCACATTGATTTGTGAGGAGTTTGCAGAGAAAGTACCAGTAGGAAGTGCCCAACTGAGAAAAATCATTGTTGTCCAAAATTTCATCTGCAAGTCAGTCATGTGGAATAGGAATACTTTTCTATTTTTTTCTAGAGCGGGGGATTGGGGGAGCCCAATTCAGGTGCACAGCACTAACATTGGTTCCAAACGAGATCTCTATTCCTCTGGACTCCAGTGACAAAAAATGAAGTTTCACAATTTGTTTTCTCCACTCTGATGTCCCTAAAATAAATAGATACACAGCTTTCCTGAGGTTTCCCAGAGGATTTTACCATTAGTAACTATAAGAAAGAGATAAGATGTAAAAGAAGTCCTTGTCCTATACCCCTATCTCAGGGATTCAGTTCTAATTACAAACAAATCCATTTGTAATCACATAATTTTTCAGATGGAGAGATGCTGAGATGTTACATTTCAAGGTACCAAACCCCTCCGTACAATGAGAATAAGAATATTCAAAGAATATAAAAATATTAGTTCCCTTCTAGTAAGTGTTCATATGTTCTGCTTACAACCACATCACTATTTGGTTATAACTGAACCTAAAATCTGTTTCAGTAGGCATGGCAGGCAGAATGACAAAACACGTCAATAATGGCTCCATGTGTTCAGTCGCTACTGTTAGGTATCACAATGACAGGCAAGCTCCATTTGCACACATTACTTCCCAGGAGCAGGAGCCTGACCATCTTGTTCCCCACAGCATCCCCCAGTGCCTGGCACCTTATTCTCTCTATTTTCCAGGTAAGACAACAGAACAAGAGAGAGGTTGAGCTTTTACTCAAGGACACACAACTAAAAAGTGGGAGAACCTGAATTTGAATCCAACTCTATCTAATTACAAAGCCCATACTCATTCTACTATACTACCCTGCATTTTCCATACTGTTTATATATACAAAAATCTCATATTGGAAATATATTGTTAAATGAAAAAGAAAATAAGGTGCAGGACAATATAAAATATGCTATTATTTGCATAAAAGAAGCACAGGGGAAATGTATATGTACATAAGAATTAACGTGGACATGTATGCTAAAGCATAAACTATTTCTGCAAGTTTACCCAAAACACTAATAGTTGGGATGTGGGTAACTGGGGGACACTGAGAGCTACTCTGCACTTCATTTCTTTTGTTTGTTTTTAATTTTGTATCTTAGCATAAGGTTCCCAGATTTATCAAATAAAAATAAGGATGCCCAGTGAAATTTGCATTTCAGATAAATAGATGTATATATTTCTTACAAGCATGCCCCGTGGAATATTTGGGAAATACTTACAAGTAAAAAATTATTTGTTGTTTATCTGAAAGTTAAACTTAAGTGGGCATCTGTGCAGGAAAGGGTTAACTCAGTAGGCCTAGGCTGTTCAAGGCCAGGCTCCTGCTAGATAATCTGAGCCCTTGGAGTATCCTGCCTGATGAAGTGTCTTTGTACGCCTGAGGCCCCTGGGCACCCCAGACAGTTTATGTTAACAATGTGTACAGTGAGTGCCTATTTTTGTATGCCTGAGGCTTTGGGCCATGCTGTAACAGTTTGACTTCTGGGGGGCCAGAGACAGTAAATTGTCAAGGTCAGTCACACAAGTACTGCATGCCTACATGACTGAAACCCCACCTCCCAAAAATTTTTTTAAAAAACCTGGGCACCGAGGCTTAGATGACCTTCCCTGGTTGGCAACATTTCGCACACATTGTTACACACATCGCTACTGGGAGAATTAAGCGCTGTTCACGTGTGCGAAAGCTGAGCAACGAATAAGGAGGGCGGAAGAAGAATTGATGCCTTTGAATTATGGTGTTGGCAAAGCACAGTGAATATACCATGAACTGCCATAAGAACAAACAAATCTGTCTTGGAAGTACAGCCAGAATGCTCTTTAGAAGAGAGGATGGTGAGACTTCGCCTCACATACTTTGGACATGTTATCAGGAGAGACCAGTTCCTGGAGAAGGACATCATGCTTGGTAAAATAGAGGGTCAGCAAAGAAGAGGAAGATCCTCAATGAGATGGACTGACACAGTGGCTGGAACAATGCGCTCAAGCATAACAATGATCATGAGGATGGTGTAGAATGGGGCAGTGTTTTGTTCTGTTGTACACAGGGTCGCTATGAGTCAGCACCTAACAACAACAACAATCTAACTCCACTAAGACAGAACAACTGGAAGCTTGCACCTGGTTTCCTCTGGATTCCCGCCCTATTAAGTCTTTTCCCTTTGTTGGTTTTAATCTTTATCCTTTTGCTACCATAAACCATTAACCAGAAGTATAACAGCTTTTTGTTTGAGTTCTCTGAGTCCTTCTACCAGATTACTAAGTTGGACGGTAGTCTTGGGGATCTCTAACACAGCATCCTTTATTTTATCTGGCAACCCTACCTATGTATGTATTAGCTTAGAAAAGAAATTAAATTTTAACAGTCATTTTTAAATCACGGTGTTTACACGTCCTGCAAAATTTTAATACGATGGCAGAGTTGCCAGATCCTTGAGAAATCTCTGAAGATTTTAGCAGTGACCATATGATTTTCCAACAACTGGTTAGCACCACCCATTTCAGTAGGAGTTAAAAATCAAAAGGGATAATTAGTTTTATTTAGAAACAAGAACTGATTAATCGACTAATCATTTTATTTTTCAACAAGTTGTACTGGTAATGTGTAGGCACAGCTTTTATGTAGTAAAGCATCAGTGTTTGAAACATAAAACAAATCAGCCTGCCTGATCCAGATTATATGGTAACTAACATGCGAAAATATGTTTATGCTAAAAATAGCTCTACTAAGAGACACTGTCCCAAATGCATACAATTTTCCAGTTATCT